CCTAAACCCTAAACCCTAATTCCGGAAAGCCCTCGGAGGAAAACCAGATGCACCCCTGCTGTTGTCTAAAGCAGCGAAGTTGGAAACCAATCCAAAGAGGTTTAGGGTTTAGGGTTTAGGGTTTAGGGTTTAGGGTTCAGGAAGGTTCCTAAAGGACAAGGGGCTGTTCTCAACTCGGTGCCCTCTAAGCTCTACTCATTGGAAGCAAAACAGATACTCCTTGGAGATCCCTATGAACAAAAGCCGTCATCGAAAAACATGCACAAGCTACACAAGCACCCAAGGGCTGTATTTGCAGGAAGGGCTCAGGGTTATCAGGGAATGTTTGGAAGAGCATGTTCGAAACCGCCCCCAAGCCCCGAAGCCATCAATCGCCTGTGGGATTCTGGGTTGAGGACTTTAGACTTTAGTGTGATTGTTTTAGGGTTTAGAGTTTAGGGGGTTTGGGGTTTAGGGTTTAGGGTTCAAGTAAGTGTTCGATGCTACAGGTTCAAGAGTCCTGAGATTTGTCGGACCAGCCCCAGCAAGCCAACAACAGCGGCCCTGATACTCCCAAGCCTCGAACACTCCAACCCGCGACCCTAAGAGTTCAACAACGACATAATGAAGTGTCGACCACACCCCCTGCAGCAAAAGATAGACACTTGTTTGACTTATAAACCCTATCTCTGCGCAGCCTATGCAAAGCCTATGACGACCTGAAGCGATGTCCGAACACCCGGAAAATGCCAAACCCGAATCACAACGTAACCCTGTAGAACCCATCATGACAAAGCCTGACACTGGGCTTTCCAGTAAGCAAGCAAAAAAAGCATAAACTGTTGTTGTCATTCCTTTAAAGAACAGATCAACAAAATGATAAAGTCCAGTACGCCAGAACCAGAGTCGAATTCCGAATGAGCAACTTAGAAGCCCGCCATCCTCTAGATAAGGAGACACGTCGCGCCTGAGCTCTGGATTCTTGTAACCTCTTCACCATGCCCCACATCACGGCCGAAGGGTTTCGCGCAGCCTCCGGGGGTTGGAAGTTCAGGGTTTCGGGTTTAGGGCTCTTAAAGATAGGGTTTAGGGTTTAGGGTTTAGGGTTTAGGGTTTAGGGCTCTACTTACTTCCCCAATCAGCCAGGGAAGTAAAAGGTTAAACTTTCAGATTACTACTAAACTACAAGAGCCCCAAAGTTTAAAGGTTGAGTATTGGAGAACCAAGCTTAAGATGCTTGGGTGATCGAGAGGCATCCTGTCCTAACCCTTTCTGAAAACCCTAAACCCTAAACCCTAAACCCTAAACCCTATCCCCCGACGCCTGAACCCCGAAACCACCAAACCCTAAATCCAAAACCCCTAGACCCTCTCTGCCGAAACCCAGCAGGGTTGGGCAGGGGGTTATGTTGGTTTAGGGTTTAGGGCTTATAGGGGTTTAGGGTTTAGGGTTTAGGGTTTAGGGTTTAGGAATAAACATGTACTGTTTAATCGCCGGAATGCTTGAACCAATTAAACCAACGGGCCATACAGCTGAAATTGTTTAAGCTGTGTAACTGCTGTTGAAAAGCCAGACGGTTTCAACAAACAAATGTTGAAACACACACATGCTTAAATCCGAAGGATCTAAATCTTTGACCCCCATAACACTGCCTCAGACCTCAAACCCCAAGCCCTGAAACCCAAACCCTTGGCCCTAAACCCCAATACCCCTCGGCCCAAAACCCTAAACCCCAAGCCCCAAACCCGAGAGCTTCACGTATAATTGTTGCCATGCCGGTGGCTCCCGTGCCGAGTTTCTAGGCTCCAGTTTTGCAATCTCAGCTTAGGGTTTAGGGTTTAGGGTCTAGGGAAGTGCGGACAAAAAGCACCTGATGCACACTTAGTGGGGCCGTACAGGAGTTAGTGTGCCGACGGTCCTTAAATGCAGGGAAGCTTGCTTGTTGGGCTTGAGGGCTTGCGCGCGCGTCAGCAAGAGGGCGCGCAAACTAGTCTATGCGCTCCTTTGAGGAGGCAGAGAAAGCCGAAGCGGAAAGCGGACTGCCAACGAGACTGACCTTGTGGAAAGCGGACTGCCAGCAAGCCTGTCCTCGGAGCGCCCTAAACCCTAAACCCAAACCCTAAACGCGTCCGCCATCCGCAGGCAAGTTCACTTCTGCGCCTACCTGCCCTGGAGTCCCGCCCAGAGACTCCAATATCGCTTAATCCAGGAAGATTCCTTAAACTATAGTAGGATCCTTAATAAGATTTAAGGTATATTCCTTAATTAAGGGATATTGGAGGCTCTGGGCGCTTTGATGTTTCCAACCAACTAGGCGGTTCCTGCTAGCGCTTGCTGAGAAAACGCGTTCTGCACCTGCCTGCAGGTGGGTAGTTCTCTAATTAGGGTCGGTTTTGGAGTCCTTTTTATAAGGGTGCCGTACTATATTGGGGACCCAATAAGGGACCCTAATATAGAGAACTACCCAGGTGAAGGCTCATGGCAGTAGATTTCTGATGGCTTCTCTGTATACATCCCTCCGGGTGGCAATTAGTAGATGGGGTTACTGGTCAGTCGAACCTGCTCCTAACCACATCAAGTTAAGCGTCTTTTGCATTTCGGATTTGGGGATTTGGACAAGGGGCTCTATCAGAATGATGCAGGGAGGCATAAAGGAACGATCGTAATTGCAGGTGCGCGCTTTCCGAAACATGCCCCATGGCATCCCCACCACCCCGACGCCAGAAAATCTCGACGGAACTTTTAATACCCTAAACAGTAAAGTCTAAACCCTGAAACCCTAAACCCCACTGTGCTCCTCTTAACAGGTGAGGCAAGAGCTAGTTGTTGGAGATAAATCTGCAAGAGCAGCACAACCAACAACAACCTGAAAACCTGCCTGGCTGGTCAAGATCAATCTTTTCAACCCTGAAACCTGATTCGCAAGACGCAACAGTCCAACTCTTCAAACCGCCCTGTTACAGAACTACGAACGAAACATGAACCCTAAACCCTAAACCCTGGACAAGGCCCGAAAGCGAAAACCTCACACCAAAAAACCGCTGAACCCTAAAATCCAAGGCTCCGCACCGCGACACCATGAGACCCAAACCCTGAAAACCCCTAAACCCTAAACTCCTAAACCCCTAAACCCTACAACCCGAAATCCCAAAACCCTTCAACTGCCAAATCCTAAACTGTGAAGCCGCTATGTATTTAAGCCTTTAAACCCCTAGAAATGCAAAGCCCGAAAGCCCTAAACGCTGGAGTCTAAACAGTCAAAGCCTCCAACCCAGAACAAGCCAGACATCATTAAATCGAACGAAGAGGCCCTATACATCCCTAAGCAACCATGAAGCCACCCAAACCGCTGGCTGAGAACCCTAAACCCTCAACACCAAAACTCTTCTGCTACTCTAAACCCTAAACTCTCAACCCTAGGAATCAGGGAGCTCCCTTTTTGGCCAAGACCACACAACAAGGGAAGAAAGGCCCACCCGCAGACCTGGTAGAGAACCGATGTAAACGTTTTTGAATTTTAAGGTTTAGGATTCTGGGGATTAGGGTTGAATTTTGCAACCCCAGTCAACTTAGAGCACAGCAACCCCTGTTGTATTGCAGGAAATTCGGGGCCCTAAACCCTAAGCCCCAACCCCTAAAGCGCTAAACCCTACACCCTAAACCCCTAAACCCTAAACCCTTGGCGCGACCTGGAGGTCAACCAGGCCGATGGCGATGCACTGTGCCTCGGCATCCAAGAACGCCAAGGCCTGGAGACTTTGGTTTAGGAGTGTATGGGGTTTGGGGGTTTAGGGGTTTAGGGTTTGGGGTTTAGGGTTTAGTGTTTGGGGGTTAGGGTTCAGGGCTTTTAGGGTTTAGGCTTAGTTTTCGAGGGCTCGTTTCCTACTGCATCCGGTTAGAGATGCTCTTTGAGTGCCATAGCTACTCCACAGGTCAAAACCCAAATCCATCTCGGATCACCTAGTGGCCGGAATCATGTTTTGAAGACTCAGTTCTTGAGTTGCCAGTCTCATCATGGGTAGTTTTCTACATTAGGGTCCCTTTCAGGGTCCTTTTTTTTATAAGGGTGCCATACTCTATTGGGGACCCCAAAAGGGACCCTAATTTAGAGAACTACCCTCACACAAGACTAGGACTAGGAGCTACAGGCACTCGTAAACTTACTTCCCAAAATAAGCCAGGGAAATAAAAGGTGTAACTTTCAGATTACTACTATGTTATAAGAACCCAGATAAGCTTAAAGGCTGGGTATTGCAGAAGTAAGTAAATGTCGTGCTCGTCCTCAACTGCCTGATTGGAATCCCATGCCCGGGCCATCGTCTGATGAATCCTGTGTTTCGGGTGTGGGGTTTAGGGGATAAATTTCAAGAACTCCTGGATCATAGTTTAGCGCACAAGGTTAAAAAAATCCTGATTGTAGGGTTTAGACTTTAAGAAATAAGCTCCAAACACTACTGGTTATACTTGTGGCGTAAGAAGAACTTTTTACATCCTGGCTCGGCTCGTTCACTTGAAGTTAGTAGAGATCCTACGTAATGTTTTTGCCATTGAAGAAAGTGGGTGTATTCCCTAAACCACGACAAGACCCGCGAACAGACAAACCCTAAACCCTGAACCTAATGTAGGGACCTTAATAGTTAGGATAGGGTTTCGGGGTATACTGTAATTATAATAAGGAGCCCCCAAGGCAATTATGCAGGCCCCTATATTATAACCCAAAAAACAAAATCCTAAACCCTAAAATCCTAAACCCTAAACCCTAAAACCCTAAACCCTAAAATCCTAAAACCCTGAAATCCTAAAATCTTACACCCTAAACTAAACCCTAAAACCCTAAACCCTAAACCCTAAAATCCTAAACCCTAAACCCTCAAACCCTGAACCCTAAAACCCTAACCTACACCCTGGCCTGCTGCACTTTGATGTCTAAGCCATGGCGGGCAGCAAAGGACGCCGCATCGGGCATGAGACCTCGGAGGGTCCATGTAGGGACCTGCTAAATATTGCTTCATGAGCATACATTAGGGTTTAGGGTTTAGGGTCCAGGGTATAGGGCTTTTTTTTGAGCCCCTGTTTCCCTCATCCCTGTGGTCAAGGTATTGGGTTTAGGGTTTAGGGTTTAGGGAAAAACGGAGTGTTTCTCTCAACCCTCAACTTAGTTCCACAATACTCCAGGGAAATAAAACGTCAAACTTTCAGATTTCTACTAAGATATAAGAATCGAAAAAGTTTAAGGTTGGGTATTGGAGAACTAAGTAATGGGAATAGAGCTTCGGGGTGTTCGGCAAGTAAGGGTTTAGGGCAAGTGGCCACCTGATTCTGATTCTGATTCTGATGCAGACTGTAGGGCTTAGGGATGGGCACTAAAAGGGTTTTCCACTGATCATTCAGACCTTGATATCCGGCTGTAGACAGAGGTTTGCTGCCTACTCTGTTGTATGTTTGTGGCAGCAAAGGAAATTCACGGACCAAGGGGGCCCTAAACCCTAAACCCCAAACTGTAAACCGTAAACCCTAAACCCCAAACCGTACACCCTAAACCCCAAACCGTAAACCCTAAACCCAAAACCGTAAACCCTAAACCCTAAACTCTAAACCCTAAACCTCAACCCTAAGCCCCTTGTAGGGTTTACAGGCGGGTCGTACGGAGTGCGGGTGAGGCGGCTCTTGAAGGCTCAACTGGGAAAGGTTTAGGGTTTAGGGCTTAGGGTTTAGGGCTTAGAGTTTAGGGCTAAGGGTTAAGGGTTTAGGGTTTAGGGTTTAGAGTTCAGGGTTTAGCGTTCGGGTTAGGGGATCTACAGTGCTTTCCTAAGTTATGTAGGGTTTGGGGGTGAGAGGGCTGGCGAAGCCAGCTCGGGCCAACGAACTGCCAAGCGTTCGAAATGAGCTGTCAATCTCTGCTGGGTCCGCTGGATGCGCTCCTGGCCCTCCTCTAGCTTCTTTGTTTTCGTTATGCTCCAATCGAGAAACTGATGGCTGCGTTCGACCCAAGCTGGCCAGTCAATTCCGGGCTCGGTGCCAACTGGCGGAAGCTCAACGGAGTGGGCGCCTGCTGCTGAAGCAGTCTCTCCAGCATGTGCAACTGTAGGCGCAGCCGCACCTTCAAGCATGGCCTCTGTGGTCAAAGCTACATCTGCACGGGCTGTACCATCCTCAGCCACGGCCCCTCCTGTCAAAGCCGCACCATCCTGAACCGTGGCCTCTCCCGTCAAAGCCGCCGTAGCTGCACCATTCTCAACCAGGGCCCCTCCTGTCAAAAGGAGTCGAGCTTTAGGGTTTAGGATTAGGGTTTAGGGTGTAGGGTTTGGGGTATGTAGACTTTAGGTTTTGTTAATTAAGTGGGGCTTTCTGTTCGGGGTTTAGGGTTGAATTGGACTAGAAACCCCCCGGCCAAAAAACTGCAAACAGCCTACAACCAAAATCAAGCCTAAACAAATACCACAAACCTATGAACGACACCACAAAAAATGCAAGCACCTTGTAGAACCCCGAACACTCTACTCCCCTGGGATAGCAAGCAACAAAGACCCCGCTTAACACAGAAGCACAGAACCCGGTAACAAGTAGAAACCTAAAGACAATTCGAAGAAGAGCAAAGCCAAGATTTCAGAAACCAAACACCCACAATCCTAAAAACCCCAAACTCCAAATTCATAAGAACTCTCAGCAACACCAGAAACAAGCCTAAAAACTCTATCAAACCGCTGACAAAAAAAAGGCCCGAAACCTTAATCCACCCGAACCCTGAAACCTAAAGCCTAGCTGGCTAAAGCCTAAACCACCCAAACTGAAAACACCCTAATGTCGGGGCCTTAATACCCTATTCTACTTATTAAGGCCCTTATATTAAACACTAAAAACACTAAGTCCTAAACCTTAAACCACCCGGGCCCTAAACCCCAAACCACTCGAACCCCGCCCACGGCCTTCCACCTCTGCGAATCCTCCATTCGGCGGCGGGTGGTGAACCTTGGGATGTTGCTTTTAGCTTGTCTTCTTTGTGTCGGGGCCTGATTAATTCGTGAGGTTTAGGGTTTAGGGTTTAGGGGTTCTAAACGGGTTCCAGCATGCCTTTGTTTTTGAGGGTGTCGTCTTCGCTTGTTGTTGTCACGACTTTTACAAGCTTATTAAATTAAACTTGTTACGTTAGTGCGGCTACCATCATTAAACATGGCATCACGGGTACTACTAGTGTTATTACCGCTGCATTTCCATATGTTGGCATTTTGCTGTCTCTGTGATAGAGGTATACGGTAAAATCTGGGTATTCGTCGGGGTTTTCTGAGGTTGTAGACTTTTGATTGGGGCTTCGGAGGCTTTGGGAGTGCCTTAATGGGCGCTTTACCAGGTGCTCTAAGGTATAGTGTGGTTATCGGTTGTCTTAGAGGGGTCGCAACAGGTCAGGTTCTATAGAGAAGCTTGGTTCAAGTAAGTATGTACGGCTTGCTCACATGAATGATGCTGACCCGAAGCCACCAAACCACAAAACTCCTTCATTGAACCCTCAACCCCTCTAACCTAGAATTAGAATGGGGTTTGGGTGAATACTATACTATACTTATATAGTAAGGAACTCTAAGAATATTGTAAAGGAACTCTAAGAATATGATTCTTAGAGCTCCCTTTTAAAGTAATAGTAAACCCTAAACCCTACACCCTTTAAGGCTTCGATATTCGACTCTGATGCCCAACCTCGAAGCCCTTAACCCTAAACCCTAAACCCTAAACCCTGAACCCTAAACCCTGAACCCTGAACCCTGAACCCTGAACCCTAATAAACCCTAAACCCTAAACCCTGAACCCTAAACCTTAAACCCTGAACCGCCGACCCAAAGCCACCGCCACTAAGCGCCCGGCGTTGCGCGCGGCGAGCTCCGCGTTGATCCGCTGCGCTTCGGCCAGGAGATCTGCACCACCGACGGTGTTTGGGCTTTCGGGCTGTTAGGGTTTAGGGTTTATGGTTTAGGATGCGAAAAAGATAGCATGCGCATGGTGCTTAAGATGTAACCGTGGCTTCTGGTTTAGGAATTAACGCTCGGGGTGTAGCAATGTAGGTTCTAGGACGTGGGATGCGTCTTAGGAATGAGGGTCTAAGGCGTAGCTCAAATATTTAGGGGGTTCGGGCTCTGGGGTTTGGGATGTATTGTAGGGGCCTTAATAATTCGAATAGGGTTTTGGGGTATATTGTACTCTATCTATATATATATAATAAGGAACCCCCAAAAATAGTATAGGTAATCCAGGAATCTATATGAGGGTTAGAGAACAAACAACGACAACGCGGTCTTGGTCTCATCAGTGACGATGGAACCCTAAACCCTAAACCCTAAACCCTAAATCCTAAACCCCTAAACCCTAAACCAAGGAAAGCCAAGCCTGAACCCGAAACCCGAGGCCCTACAGTACGAAACCAACGCAATCGGCCCGGGACCCCAGAGCCTGAAGCTTGGGTTTGGGGGTTTGGTTTAGGGTTTAGGGTTTAGGGTTTAGGATTTAGGGTTTAGGGTTTAGGGTTTAGGGTTTAGGGTTTAGGGTTTAGGGTTCCCTGGACCCACAACCCGCTATCCGGTTTAACGGCTTAGGAGTTTAGGGTTGAGGCTAGGGATTTAGGGTTTAGGGGTTTGGGGTAAGCTCTAGGTACTCCACTGGGAGAGGAGGCAACAACTGGTTTCTTCCGGAGACCCCTCTAAGACAGCAGGGGAAAGTGGGGCAGAATCCCCAACCACCATCCACCACCGAAAGACCCTAATAGGTAGTTTTCCAAATTAGGGTCCCTTTTAGGGTCCTTTTTATAAGGGTGCCGTACTATACTGGGGACCTAAAAAGGGACCCTATTTTAGAGAACTACCCAAATGACAACGCTATCCTGCACAAAGTGGCGGGAAGCAGTGCATCACCTTGCCTTCGGTGCTGCAAGCGCTCCTTCAGCTATAGCGAACCCCAGAAAGTTGGAACATGGGTGTAGGAGGATTGATGCTAGGATCCCTTTTGCTTGACCTTAAGGGCATGAGGAGAATAATGTTCCAACTTTCTGGCTTCTACTATAGGTTGTTGGCAGTATTCAGGTTTAAGGCTAAACGATTCAAGATTGGAGGAGTTTTTTGGCCTAGGGTTTAGGTTTGGGAGTGGTTTGAAGAGGTCCTATCGCCAAGACTTTGCCAGCTTAGGTTGAGAAATGCGGAGCTGATACAGGCAGCCCTGAACATGGATGGTTTATAAGTTTCGGATTTAGGGTTTAGGGTTTAGGGATGGTCTATAAGTCTCAACAACTACCAATACCACTCCGTAGCGTTCCTACTATACTTATAGTATAAGATACCCCAAAACCCAATTCTAATTCTTAAGGCCCCTACATAGTTCACGGCAGATGTTTACTCTCCATGTGCTCTTTCACACTGCTTCTCCTCAAAGCCATCCTGACATACGCATACGACTTCATCACCCACTTGCATGTAACATAGAGGCCTTTAGTTCATAATTACGATAGTGTTTGGGGGCGGTATAAAACTACAATAAGGAACGCCAAGCTGGTATTGGCAATTATTTGGGGTCCTATATCAGAGCCGAGGGGCGCGGAGTTCTTATCAAGTACACTAGCGGGGCACAGTGATGCAGTCTTGAGCTCATGTTCTAATGTCACGATTTCTCTGGCTTTGGGGTCAGGACACACCCTAAAGCCTAAACCCTAAACCCAAGCAGAAGACCTGCCAGAGCCTCTGTAAGAAGCCCACGTCCGAGACCCTAGAGGAGTACAGCACTCCGGAAACCGCTCTCCCAACAAAAGAAGAAAAGGGGCCGCACTAATTTCAACATGAACTGGATTTAGGGTTTAGGGTTTAGGGGTTTAGGGTGGAGGGTTTGTCTACTAAGTAAGACGGGCTTTCACCTGCAGACGAGTCAGCAAGGTCCAGGTTCTGGTAATGGGATACTATTGCTAATCATTCCGACGCCCTAAACCCTAAAACCCTAACCCTGAGCTGAACAGATCAAGCCCTGAAGTGGAAACGGGGAACCATGTCGCAGTGGTGGACAATTCGCATAAGGCCAGGGTTCTGGGGTATTTTTGGTTGAAGTCGACTAATTAAGCTTAGGGTTTAGGGTTTAGAATTCATAGTATCACTAATTTTGCCGGCTTCTATAGTACCAGAATGCCTAAAGCGATTCTACGACAGGAAGTATGGAACAGCAGCGTCCCACTCATTCTACGGACCCCCAACATCCTGAACCCCCCAAAACCCTTACACTCTACACAGAATATCCCTAGACCCTAAACCCTAAACCTCAAAAGCCCTTACATTATATACAAAATATCCCTAGACCCTAAACCCTAAACCCGAAACCCTAAACCCAAAAGCCCTTAGACCCTACACAAAATATCCATAGATTGTTAAGCCTAAACCCCAAACCCTAAACCCAAAACCCCAAGAAGCCCATACGTCCAAGAACCCTAAACCCTGCACAACCCGAAACCTCAAACCGCGAATTCTAAGAACTCGAAACCTGAAATCTCTAATATGGGGGGCCTTAATAATTGGAATAGGGTTTGGGGTTTAGGGTATAGATATAGGGGCCCTAATAATTGGAACAGGGTTTAGGGTTTAGGGTATAGATATAGGAGCCTTAGTAGTTGGACTGTGTAGGGTTTTGGGAGGTGTATAATAGCAGGAGCAACCCCCGAAAAAGTTTAGGGTTTAGGGTTTAGGGTTTAGAGTATAGGCAATTATTCAGGCTCCTATAGTGGGAACCTTGGCCCTGTTTGCGATCGAGTTGCAAGTCGCGGCTTTCAAGATAAGGACTCCTAGCACAGGTCAAGTCGGGATCCCTAAACCCTAAACCCTAAAACCCTCAAACCCCGTCCCTTTAAAGGAATCCTTAAAGGATCCGGTGGCCTCATTTCATGTTCCTTTCGAAGTTTGGGGATTAGAGTATCTTCAGGATCTCCTCGTCAAGCGAAACCTCTCAGGCCCTAAACCCAAAACCCCAAAACCCTAAACCCCACAACCCCAAAACCCTGGGGTAAAACCCCCGCCCCTGCAGCAATTAGCAGGGCTTCTCGAGGCACTCTGAAACGATGCCCCGACCCTTAGATTTAGGGTTCAGGGTTTCAGGGTTTTGGGGTTTGGGGTTTTGGGGTTATTAGGGTTCAAGGTTTAGGGTTGTCCACGAGCAAGGAGGAAGCCCCAAACCCTGAACCTAACACCCCAAAACAAAATGCACGTGGCTGCAAAAGCCCCAGCAAAGGCCGACGTTTCACTCACTCACAAAAGGCAAACACTCCATAAGTTGGGAATGTGGCTGTAGCCTCTTTAGGATGCCGGTCCCGGGGTATGATACTTCATCTAATCAACAGACAAATGCGCCCCACTCTCTTCATGTAAGGTTCCTAAACTGACAACCCTGCATCCCAAAAGGTGAACAGCAGGAGCAGCAATTAGATACACCCGGCCGGGATGCCCTTATAGTCCGCCTTAAGCCTTAAGCAAGAAAACGCTTCAAGAAAGGGTTTGCTGTAATCTCAACAACTGCAGACAATCAATATTTAGCCATGGCCAACCAACCTCCCACAGGTCCTAGAGCCTGCAGCCAAAGACCAAACTTCCAAACCCCCACCACAAAAACGAAAAGAACAAACCCTGAGCCCTAAACTTAAAATCCCCAAAATGCACTTAAACCCTAAAGCCTACATAAAGGACAGCTTGTTCCATAAACATTCCCCCTAAACCCCTAAACCCAAAGCTTACACCCCTACACCTTTGAACCCTAAACCCCTAAACCCTAAACCCCAGAGCCTAAACCCTTGAGACCTGTCCTGCTTCGGAGCCTTGGAGCACCCGGGGTCATGACCCTGCGCCGAGACGGTTTACGGCTTTGAGGGTTTAGGGTCTATCGGTTTAGGACTTGTGTGTTTAGGATTTGGGTTTTTTGGGGTTTAGGGGTTCGGGGTTTTGTTCCGAAATTTCTGAGGTTTGTTATCGGATCTTGAAGTGCATTTTTGTAAATGGTTCTGTCATGTAGGGTGAGGGTTCCGAGTTTTTCCAGGGCTCTAGAGGATCTCACAAGAAGGGATAATGAGGGTCTACAAAAGCTTTATGACGTTTGCAGGCCCTCATACGACTTCATTATAGTAACGGCCGAAGTTGGTTTTACGGTAACTTCAAAGGTTTCTGTAACAAGACTGTATGTATATATATATATATACGGGTGTCACAGGGTAGTGCCGGAGTCGTCGGAGACGGGCCCAGGACGATCCTCTTGCAGATTGTTCGGCGTCTTCGGTCACAGGTTGGCAATGGGATTAAAGGCGTGGAGTCTTCGATAATGCAGAGTGAAGAGGCTTCGTTGGGTTGTCGAATATCTGGGCTTAAACCCAGAGACTCCAAGATTCCTTAATTAAGGAATATTCCTTAAATGATAGTAGGATCCTTAATCTGATTTAAGGTATATTCCTTACTTAAGGGATATTGGAGTCTCTGGGAATGTTGTCGAATGTCTGGGCTTAAATGTTTGGTAAGGGTATACTCGGAGAGTGGGACCTCAGTGAGTCGGTAGTAAGTGGGTAAGTGGGCTTATACGTACCCTAAGAGGGGCTTATAGCCCTCTTGAGTGCTTACTACTGCTCTGACCATACTTCTACCCGGACCCCGGGAAGGATCTGAAAAGTAGATCCCCTTTTAGGGACCCTATATATACTACTAAGGGCTATTTTATAGGAACCTCCTTGTGGGATTTACTTTCTAGATCCTCCCGGGCGTTTGGGTATAAGCTATCACTTAGCCTGGCTCTGGAGGGTCTCCTCACGACGGTTCTGCATCAGGGTACGAAGCTCTCCTCATGGGAGAGAGTGTAGGGTTTAGGGTTTAGGGTTTAGGCTCCTGGAACAGCTCCTTGGTAAGTTCCCCATGCTTGTCAGACCATCTTGAGGGAATCTCGATGAGCAGGGGCTTCGTTTTGCCAAAGTTGCCTGTGAGGTAAGTGTGATCGGAAGTACCACATGGGGGTTTCCGAAAATAGGGGGCCCCAATATAGCACCCTAAATAATAGGATCCTTATTATAAGGACCCCAAAATAAGGTACCCCTAATTTTCGGAAACCCCCACATAGTGACAGAGTGGACAGAAGCACTGCAGAGACTCTCCCTGTTTCGACTGCCAGCCTCGACTCTAAACCCTAAACCCCCAAA